CCCCCCCCCCCCCCCCCCCCCCCCTGAGATGACCTGCGGTTTTCTAATACAACTGGTATTCTGCAAAAAAACTCTGTGGTTTATTGGAAGAGACGAGTGCACCCCCTCCTAAAAAAAATCCTGGATCCGCCCCTGAAAGGAACTGTGACGTAGATTAAAAGAACTGTCGTAAATTAAGGAACACTTGGCTTAAGATCCAAGTAAACCAGTGTAAAATTCTCACTAGAAAAATTTCTTTCTTCAAACTCGGAAAACTTTGAAAACTCGGGTAAAACAGGCTAGACAAGATGCGTCGCAGGGAGATGCAACAACACTTTAAGAAAACATGCACTTTCTGGCATACGGGGTATCCTATGTATAGTTGTGTTTTACTAATGATTTATAAAACAGAACTATAGAAGAGAACGTTCAGTATTTTTTGTTATCATACTTGTGATCACGTGTTTAGTTACTCGAGCGATTATAGTGTTATGATAAGCTGTACATGCTCCGTTTTAAGCGTTGATCGGCGACAGTTGCCTGAGCAAGAAAAGTATCTGGTAGCGTGCATCACTAAATCCAGAGGCTGTAACCTAAACAGCCTAATTATTCTGGCATAAATGCCCAGAAAATAAGCTGTTAAGGCAGGTAATTAATAAACCATGACTCACTGCAGATTCAGACAATTAAATTTTTAGAGTTAGAAGGCTGACGTTGAGCTTTTTTTTTACGATTCCTTTCGACAACCTTACATTTCCCAATTCCAGAAATTAACTCTGTTCTATAGATAAAAAAAGAAAAGAACAAGACCATGAAGACAAGAAAGCGAAACTAAAAAGGAATTGATTATTAAATGCATGACTTTGCTTTGAGTTTAACTCAGTTCCTGTTATCTTGCACTGATTTAGCGGGATGGGTCAAGATAAAATACCTCAACCTTATCAGGTGAGAAGTACGTTCCAGGCCCCTTCAGGATTGCTAAACTGTCCTTCACTGAAGCTGGAACAGAGTAGAACGAGCCCAAGCGTGCTCTTGACTGGCTGATTTTGGCTTTAATGACGAGGTCGTCACCAAACGCTGGACCATAACCTGAATACCTGTAAATTGCAAATTGTTTGTATTCTCGCTTCACCTTGCTCATAAACGGTGCCAGTCCTTCACTATTGTTGAGAGAAAAGATAAATGCGTTGGGGTTTTCGCCATAGCCACCATATCCACCGATGGATTCTAACAAAACAACAAAAAAAAGGCATAAAATAGGAATTTCAAATAATTGAATATACTTATTATTATTTATCAAGAATTCAAAGATATATTCAAGGAAAATAAGCAGAGTTTTGGAGGTAAAAGCCGCACTTTAACTTAGTTCATCACATTTAAAGAATATACATGTATGGCCGACAAAAAGCCTTCACGGCGTTGTACAGTATTTGCAGATCAGTGTCCTTCATCAGGTTGTCAAGAAAAGGTCTTCAGTTCGTCTACGGTTAGTAACGGTTTTTCTTGCTGGCTGCTAAAGCACAATTGATGCTGCATGCTTTCTCTGGATGACAAGCCTCTCTGATCTGATTCTAGCTTTCATTTAGTTTTCATAACTCGCAATAAAGTTCATTGTTCGTAGTATGTTGTTTTTATAGGATATTGAGCGCAAGCAGTATTCGCGAATTGCATGTATCTAAAGACTTCTCCATGCTCTTTGTCAGGGTCCAAAATTGGTTCACCAAAGACCCATTGGCCTTTCTTTATGTTGCGATGGAATGTCATTTTATCCAAAGGGAAGGAAGCAATACTACTGATCGCTTTATGTTAGTCAGAATCTATCTGATCTTTTTAGTTTTGTAAGAATTAGGTCGGGCTTTTATATGCGGCGCCGTTTTATAAATAATGTAGCTGCGTTTCGAGAAAAAAAAAATGAAAATATAATGTAGCTGGTAAAAATGGATTTCAGTTGAATCTATACTTAGAATGTTGTCAGAATTTAACTCATTTGAACGGGTGAAACGGCGTATCGAGGCGTATCTATCTGACAAATAATTCACCATTCAAGCAATCGTATTTCTCGCTCTCTATAATTAAGCATTACCCTATTGTAAAGTACAAATAATGCGAGTGCTATTATTGAAATCATTACGCGGTTACAAGGAACAACTGTACAGGTGAGTATTTTAAGGGTGTCGTGAAACACCCGTGGCACTAAAGCCCTTTTAAAGGTACATGTACTTAAACAATCAAATAAAATCTTACCCCAAGGAATGTCAGTGTATCCTCCAAAGACTTATTGACCTTCCTGTATGATGGTCACAGTATTTCTTTTACCGTTACAGCTATCATGGAAGGTCTTGGCTTTCCAACCATGTGAGGTGGTATTGTAGCAAAGAAACCAGGAAGAATCCTCCCCAACCCCAGGAGCGCTAGCAAGAAAACGATGAAGATGTCGGATATAATACTGATTTCCATGTAATATTGTTGAGTTTATTGAAAATTCTGAAAATTGAAACACATACACGATACAAAAAGGTTATTTTGGATGAGAAAATATCACGGTCAGGGAATCTACCCTTATAACTGCATACCTAGGCACAGCCTCATTTTACTCATGTCCTGCAGGTAGATTAGATACAAAGGTAGATAGGTGGTATAGTGAATGGATGACCAATGAATATGGATGGTGGATGGATGACTAATCTTTCTTTAAAAAAAACGCGCATGCGTGAATATTAGAATGATAAAGAACAAAATGAAAGCGGAAGATAACATTAAAAACAAAACCATTCAAAACAAACAAAAAAGACCATTAACTCCATAGCAAGTAGGCATAGCAGCAAAGCCACGCGACAATTCCGAAATGAGCGAGAATGCGAAAGTAGCTGCAAGTGAGTAATAGCACGGCTCTGCTAAGGTACATATCTTCTTTAGCTTTCTTTTACTGGTTCGTTTAGGTGTCCTCTTTGCTAAAACGCGAGGTAAAACTGAAATGTTATTTCTGACAAATGAGCCTGCGAAGAAGGCAGAAATAAATATTTTGACGGCACGAGATACAACAGCGCCTGGGTAATAGGTCAGGTGCACCATAATATAGGTAGCCATATTGGGGGTATATAAGGCTGCGTATATCATGTGTACGTCATCTAGGCTTACGAACCAACCTCTCTTTGGTTTTTCTTAAATTTTTATTCTATTTAATTTTTAGAAGTAACATATTTTCGATTACATTGTAAAGTCCCATAGGAATGGCTTTGAGCTTGAGCCTTGGTTCCTACCCAGATTTCCTGCCCGCATTTTTTGCCTTCTGGGTTTTTTTGGGCAGTTTTTTTTTTCTGGCCTCCGTCTGACGGCATTTACTTCAGTTTGTATGCGAGAGCCCTGCGAGATTTCAGCTTTTTTCCCGTTTCTTATTTTATGTACTGGTACAGTTATCCCAGTTTTGCACCTGCTCCTTTATTTGATAGATTAAGTTTATACGTATGCTTAGGATCCTTAGGTCAGCTATCCCGAAATCGCTCTTTAGGAGGCGACTTAAGTCTCGTTTGACGCAGTTAGATTGCACGCAATGTTACAGACCCCTAGCTAAAGTCGTTATCCATTTGTTTCCTGCCCTAGCCTTTTCTGGCAGCCTTACTGGTTATTGGGCTACGTGCCTTGTTGGGTACATTAGTGAAGTCATAGATAATTCCGCCTGGCACTCAGCCTCTGTGCTCCTGAAGTGTTCCCGGTCCCAATTATCCGTTGATCAGAGTTTTATTAAGTTCTCTCAGCCTAACTGGCCGCCTAACTGGCACTAAGCCTGCCTGCTTATTTACCTACCGTGTTCCGTGTGCCAGTTATCCGTTGTCAGGGTTTTATTAATAAGTTTCCTCAGGCTTACTGGCACTAAGCCTGCGTGCTTGATTGGGGGATTCAGGTCAAGAGCGACCATTTGTTGCACGAGTTTTTTCGTTTGTGAAAGCTAGTTTACGAGTGTTGTACATTAGGTATTCACTAGTAATCACCTATTATTGTATTTACATATTAAGTACTTTGTAGGGTTGGTTCTCGCCAAGCCGTCCCAAAATAAACTTATTTTGCTTTACGTTTTGTCTCTTGATGTTGTGTAGTAGAGTCAAAATTACATTTTTTTTATGGTATAATCGTGGACCGAAGGATGTATATTAAGGGTTTGACGGACGGATGGGTACTAGATTAATACCAATCTTTTTTAGGGTAGTTCAAAGACTATTGGACATCGCGGTAGTGTCTTTAAGAGATCACTGGCATTTTCCAAAGTAAGTACATTATTCCCTGATATGCGTCTCATGCATCAGTTCGAGCACTGCCAGTTTTGTATATTGTTAGTTTTTGTTTTGGGGCAGAGCTACACTTGTACATGCATGCATCTGCATTTCGAATGATCCCGTGATTAAGCGCTGGTCTTACAAATTCTACACATACAATTTTCTCTCGTATTAGTAATTTCGTGAACTGTGGTAATAGTTAATTTGAACTGATGCGGTGTCACCGTCAAGAAGAGCTTCTGCATTTATCCACAACCTGACTTGGCAGGAATCGAATATTGGTCGGTTTGTGAACCATAATATTTCTATCCAAAGTAAAATTGTGCAAGAGCTGTTTGAAGACGTGTAAGTTGTATGACTGAGAATGATTTCAGAATTTTTTCACCTACTAAGCCATCTTCTAAGACTTGAAAAAGGCTCTTCCGGATCTCTTTTTTTCCTTTTAAAGAATTAGTCGATCATTAATGGATGGTGTTTATCTCGGTCAATCATCTTATCTTATTATTCCCATCGTAGTACAGAAAAGGGGGTTAATAGTTACTCCTTAAGAGTTATCCGAGGATGTATTTTACATGATGATGCAAATATTTAGAGATCAGAGCTCTGACGTTATCCCGACAATAGTCGTGACGACCGAGATGTGATGTTAGATTTGAAGAAGTAAGTAAATAAAAAATGAATAAATAAATGAAAGTATTATAAAAAGAGCGAGTAACAATTTCATATAATTTACTTCAATGTATAATATTACTCATTACTGAACATTAACCCTTTTTGGACTAAACCAGAAGTCTAAAAACTAACGGAAAGCGAGACAACAATTCCAAGACTGAACCAACCTGAACAGTTGTGGCCATTTCCAATGTACCCTGGTCTGCAACTACAGTTGAAGAATCCTTCGGTGTTGGTACAGGTGGCATTTTCACTACAATTGTGAGAGTTGTGCAGGCATTCGTCTGCGTCTGAGTGATAATTTTAGTAAATGTTAAATTTATTCTGACTGAACAAACAGGTAGACAATATAGTGACCAGTCTGTCAGTAAAACAGATATGTTAGGAAAGGGAAAGTGTTTTAACCGTAGTTTACGGTTAAAACACATTCCCTTTCTCAAAATATCTGTTTTACTGACTTGGCAGGAATATTGGTCGCATTATGAGCCATAACATTTCTGTCCAGAGTAAAATTGGGCGATAGGTTTTTGTAAAAGTGTAACTACTGTTTGTTGGGTGACTGACAATGACTTCAGAATTTTTTCGCTCACTACGCCACCCTCCAAGACTCGACAAAGACAAATCTGTTCCGGATCTCTCTTTTTCAAATTAAAGAAGTAGTATGATCATGTATCAATGCATACTGTTTATCTCGGTCAACCATCTTAATATCTTACTCCTGTCGCAGTACAGAGAAGCGGGTTAAAGTTACTCCCTCTTGTTTTTCCGCGTTGTTTAAGAGTTAGCCGAGGGTGCATTTACATGATGTCGCAAATATTTAGAGATGAGCTCTGGACTTTATCCACAATACGTGACGACTCAGAGATGTTAGGTATGAATAAGTAAGTAAATAATAATTAAATACGTAACTATAATTATTTTAAAAAGAGCGAGTGACAATTTTCTATAATTTGCTGCATTAATTAAAGTAGTACATCGCTGAACATTTACTTTTTTTTTTTACTAAAATAGTAGTATCAAAACTAACAGAAAGCGAGACAGGAATTTCAAGAACCAACCTGAACAGTTGTGACCATTTCCAATGTACCCTGGTTCGCAACTACAGTTGAAGGACCCTTCGATGTTGGTGCAGGTGGCCTTTTCACTACAATTGTGAGAGTTGTTCAGGCATTCGTCATCGTCTGAGTGATAATTTTAGTAAATGTTAAATTTATTCTACCTGAACAAACAGTTAGTTAATATAGCCACCAGTATAATATAACTATATACTTTACGGTTAAAACACATTTCCTTTCTCGCAGTGATTTCAGAACATGACATCAGTCACCTCTCAAACTAAGGCGAAAAGTTTTAAATGCATTTTAAGAGAGCCAAAGAATTTTACCTGTACAATTGTATCCATCTCCTTCGTACCCTGGCTTACAGGAACAAGTGAATGATCCTTGGGTATTATGGCACAGAGCTTTCTGGTGACAGTTTTTAAAATCTGTGTTACATTCGTCTATGTCTGAAACAAAATTGCAATAAATTGGCAGTAAAGAAGGGGAAATTTGCATAAACACTTTATTCTATATGACAGACATATATAGCATAATCAAGTCCTTTCAGCCATGCCATGCCCTCCCTATATCTCTAAATGTTTTGTATCTCCCCCGAAGGAAAAATAAGGAATGCCTGATCATCAGTTTAAGTCCCACTGAAGAAACTGCATAGCAAAATGACTTTTTTTGTGGTTGAAAGAACGCGCATCCCTCTCACGCTTGTTCCACCTGTTAGAGAAAAAACAACAACAAAAAACAAACTTAGGTATTGGTTGCAAAAGTGGAACATGCGCAGAGTATCATTCCAGTACAATTGTAACTGTCTCCTTCGAATCCTGGTTTGCAAAAGATCCATCGGTATTGTTACGTAATGCGTGAACGTCACATCTGTGATTTCCTCGTGCACACTCGTCCATGTCTAAAAATTAAATTTCGGCCAGTCATTGAATTGATTGCCTGCACTTTCAGATTACATTATATGGCTTAGTATTGAGTTCTTACCTTTTTGACAGCGCTTACCCCTAAAACCAGGAGGGCACAAACAGCGATATCTTTCTACTGTGAATCCGGATTGACAGGTTCCTCCATTTACACAATTGAACTCTTCACAGGCATTCTTAAAAGAGAAACAGAGAACATAGTAAATGAAGGAAATGAGTAGCTGGGTGATTAGGGTGAGGTGATATCTAAATCTAAATCTAAATATCGTTATGTCGGCAAAATCGTTTGGGGCATCACGCCAACTCTAAGATAATAATAATTAATACATCTTGTATATAGTGGAGAGCCTTGCGTGTCTTCTCATTGTTTCAAGTGTGTCCCACTGTAGGTCTTGCAGCATTTCCGTCACGCTCGTTGTTCGATCGTAATTTCCAGTGACAAAGCGGGCTGCTTTCCGCTGTACCCTTTCTAGAGCGGCTTTATCTTTCTGGTAATGTGGGTCCCATGCGCTACAGGCATACTGGAGTTTTGGCCTCACAAGTGTCATATACACGGTTTCTTTTACTGACTTTGGACAATTCCACAGGTTTCGCTTGATAAGTCCCAAGACCTTATTTGCTCTAGATGTGATTGTTTCAATGTGTGGTGACCACCTCATTTTGTTATCGAGGACTACCCCCAGATAAGGGTGAGATTCCACTTCTTCTAGGATTTGTCCACAGAATACGTATTCCCGCTTTGGTGGATCTCTCCTGGTTGTAAAACACATGATCTTGCACTTTGAAGGATTAAATTCCATCTTCCACTTTTGTTGCCAATCTTCTAATCTATACAAGTCCTCTTGGAGATCGGCTGTGTCTTCATCACAACAAATTGTCCCATATAACAATGCATCATCAGCAAAAAGTCTAACAGTAGAGTTAAGACTATCAGGTAAATCATTTATATACATTAAGAACAGTAGCGGTCCTAAGACTGTTCCTTGGGGAACACCAGATGTCGTAA